TATATATATATATATATATATATATATATATATATATATATATATATGTATGTATATATATATATATATATATATATATATATATATATGTATGTATGTATGTATGTATATGTATATGGGGGCCGAGATGGTGTAGAGGCAGGGCAGCTGGCTTGGGACCCGAAAGTCCCAGGTTCGATCCCCAGTCACTGCACATCACGTGGCGTCTCTGGGCAGCATGTCTCATCCCCAAAATGTCCCCCGGGTGCTTTCAATAGCTGCCCACTACACCACCTGGTGGTGGATGGGTTAAATGCAGAGACTAATTTCGCCATTGTATGGAAACATACAGTGCTGACATTGTGATGACATTATTATTATTATTATTATAAGGACTACGTTGCCCATAATTCAATGCTGTAGTTTGTCCGGCCGCTGTTTTCTGCTGAACAGTATTTTTGTAAAGCAAAGTCACGACTGCTGAACCAGCCTTTCAAACGTAAAATTTAATTAATGTCACATGGAAAAGATTCATTTAAGAAAATTCAACTTTACAAACGTAAAGGGACAGGGAGTGGTGGCGCAGAGGTTACAGACGATGGGCCTGTGAAATGTTGTGGGTGGGGTCTGGGTCCTCCCCCAGAAAACTTTGAATAAAGAAGATGCCATTTCCTGCATTCTGGTGTATTTTAACGGGTTGTTAAACATCTACATTTACCTACAGATGTAAACACTTGATTCAATAACTATTTTAGACAGATTCCTCGTTCAACTGGTCCAGATGCATCATCATGTTTTTAAACTCAATCTTTTGGTTAAGATAATTAAATTAATGTGACAATTTATCACAAACAATGACTTTAGTAGTGCACTTGACTTTTATTTTGTTAACTTTTCATTTAGTTTTATTTGTAATACAACATGCCATTGTGCTTAACAATGGTGACACTGAACTGAATGTTTAAAAATAAGAATATTAACTTTATCCAATGAACAGGTGACATTTTGATTTAATATCCATCAACAGTGAATTTTTTTTGGGGGGGGGGGTTTTTTTTTTTTTTTACTGTTTTATGATTTAGTGATAGACCTGCTCATAACACAGATGACATGGCATCATGCAGCCATCACAACACTAAATTACACTGTGCCAAGGAATGGTGACTGACTGACTGACTGACTGACAGACACACACACACACACCAGAACTACAGACAGAAATGTGGATGATTTCTCCCCATAAAAACCGTCTGAGGATTTCTCTTAATGTTTTTTTTTTTTTACTTGTTCTGTTTTCAACATCGTTTGGTTCCTTTAGATAAAAGTTGTACATTTATTGAACCTGCCCTAAATACATTATTTATATCCATCCATCTATCCATCCATCCATAATATATATATATATATATATATATAGATAGATATAGACAGATATATAGATAGATATACAGACAGATATTTTGTTTAAAACTAAAGTTCCTGTCGGCTGATCCTTCTTCAGGGGTCAGCACAACGAATGAACTCGTAGGAAAGATTTGGCAATTGATTTACGCTGGATGCCCTTCCTAACGCAACCTGGGCCCGAACCAGCAACATCAGGATTAAAAGACCACAACACTGACCACCGAGATACCACAGTACTGAGAAGAAAAAAAAGCAGTTGAATGTTTGAGGAACTCTTCACATGTTGGGTACAGCTCACCCTCTAGAATGTGCATCCTGACCAGCTCAGAGCGCTCCGGACGACACCGGATCTTCCTCTTGAGGTAGTCCTCAGTCTGAAAAGGAAAACAGAAAATGATTTGAAGAATTCACATGAAAAGACGATGTAAATCTAGCAAAGGAAAATAATAAAAAAATGAATGAGAAAATGTGAAAAACTTCCTGCATTAACATTCTGGTTCTTTTACAAGCTTGACTGAACCTCATGTTTCATTGTGTCAACATCTGTAAATGGACTGGACTTATAGAGCACCTTTCTATCTGATGAAGATACTCCAAGCTCTTTACATCACAACCTGTGCTTCATTCATACAGCACTATACTAGATCGAGACAAAGACAATCTGAATCTGTAGAGATTAATCTGAGCTTTAAATCACATTCATACACTGATGGGACACAATGGAGGCAATGAGGGGTTCAGTGTCTTGCCCAGGGACACTTCAGCATGTGACTGCTGGTAGAATCAAACCCCCAACTCTGCTCTAACCACTCAGCCACAGCTGCCCCCTCCTGTGCAGCACACACTGTTTAGTTTGTGACACAATGTAAGAAACATTTTTCTGCTTTTAAAGCTTTGGATCATCCCACCAACCCCAGCATGCAGGACGCTGTCTGTCGTCGACTCACCCTCGCTCGCTCCAGACTCTTCCGCTGTTCGTGAAAAGCTGCAGGGCTCTTCAGAGCTACATGCAGAGAGGTGGAGGAAAAAAAATACGTGAAAAATAGATTAACACAGTTATTAGTCCAGGACTCAATCAAAAAGTGGACACAGCTACAGGCAGAGCTAAAGCAGCTGCAGAATGGAAGAAGTCCAAACATGAGACGATAGCTGCAGGACCTCATAACGTTTCTGAAAGGGTTTGCTTTTTACAGCACAGTTTGTTATGAAAAGTATAAAAAATATTTTAGCTGCTACAGTGTTATTTTTGCATTGCTTTGCTGATAATGGCTTCAGCATTTGTTTTGGTAATTTTAGCTACTTTCTCTGCTTTTAGCTTTTGTCCTGAAGCTCATAACACTTACTTATTCTCTTAATTCTTTTTTTGTTTTCTATACATTTCTACTTATTTCTGCCCCTGCTCTGCTCTGTTTAACCGTTAGGCTTGTTTAGCCACGTTTTTGTTTGTTTTAGCTACATTCTGCTCACTTTAGCTTCCACAGGGGTTGCGGTAGCTTGGTGCTGTGATCTTGTAATCCTGAGGTTGCAGGTTCAAGCACAGGTTGCATCAGGAAGGGCATCCGGCGTAAAAAAAAAACCCTGACAAATCATTCATGCAAGTTCTCTGGCTGTGGCAATTCCTGCACAAGAGAGCAGCCGAAAGAAACGTTCTGCTTGTTTTAGCCTCTGAGCTCCTGCTTTAACTACTAAATCAGTTGATAGAGGAAATATTACACTTGTAAAAGTACACAGCATACTGTGTACTTTTAATAAGGTCATGTACACAGTGTACTGTGAACTTTTACTACGTCATGTACACAGTGTACTGTGTAGTTTGACTACATTTACTAAGGTCATGTACACAGTGTACTGTGTACTTCTGCTAAATTTACTAATGTCATGTACACAGTGTACTGTGTACTTTTACTACATTTACTAAGGTCATGTACACAGTGGACTGTGTAGTTTTACTACATTTACTAAGGTCATGTACACAGTGTACCGTGTACTTTGACTACATTAACTAAGGTCATGTACACAGTGTACTGTGTACTTTTGACTACGGTCATGTACAAAGTGTACTGTGTACTTTTATTACATTTACTAAGGTCATGTACACAGTATACTGTGTAGTTTTACTACATTTACTAAGGTCATGTACACAGTGTACTGTGTAGTTTTACTACATTTACTAAGGTCATGTACAAAGTGTACTGTATAGTTTTAATACATTTACTAAGGTCATGTACACAGTGTACTGTGTACTTTTACTACATTTACTAAGGTCATTTACACAGTATATTGTGTACTTTTACTACATTTACTAAGGTCATGTACACAGTGTACTGTGTACTTTGACTACATTTACTAAGGTCATGTACACAGTGTACTGTGTACTTTTATTCAATTTACTAATGTCATGTACACAGTGTATTGTGTACTTTTACTACATTTACTAAGGTCATGTACACAGTGTACTGTGTACTTTACTACATTTACTAAGGTCATGTACACAGTGTACTGTGTACATTTACTAAATTTACTAAGGTCATGTACACAGTGTACTGTGTACTTTTACTACATTTACTAAGGTCATGTGCACAGTGTACTGTGTACTTTGACTACATTAACTAAGGTCATGTACACAGTGTACTGTGTACTTTTGACTACGGTCATGTGCAAAGTGTACTGTGTAGTTTTAGTACATTTACTAAGGTCATGTACACAGTTGATATAAAAATATATTTTACAAGGTTTTAAGTTGCCTTTATGCCTATTCAAACATATTTTGTGTGTGTTACTTATCAGAATTAAATGTCTAAATTGCCATAAAAGGCAAGGGTGGAATGATATAGGAATGATTATTTTGATGCTTTTATGTCAATTTATACTTATACTCACTTTATATGCAGCTTATCTGTCCAAAGTCAGGCCTGTACTGCAGATGTGTTTTGGAGGAATGAAAGTAAGCCTCCGGGGGGTGCTCTGGCCGTAGGATCTGGCCCATCTTGCGGTTACAGTGACCCGGAGTTTGATGTAGACAAGTCTTTCATCCACCCACGACTTTGGGTTTGAAAGACATGTTTTTATGAGCCATCGCTCTGCTGTACAGACTGCCTTGATGATGGAAAACATGTTTTCAAGGTCAGGTTATTGCCTTGGTTTTGTACAACATGTTTTTATGAGATACCGACTTTCTGTTTGTCCTTCTGACAACCATCAAACTTGTTTTTCACTGCTCTCACGCGATCCGGTCAGAGGGAGAGTATAAAAGTGTAACAC